AATATTGCCAAAATGAATACAATCCCCTCACTGTTGAACAAGATCATAATATTTATATTGACAATTGAGAACCTTGAATAATACATAGTCCCATCACGTCTTTTCTATAAAATTAGGACTCTTTTATGTCTGAAATCAAAACCAGTCCAAATAGCTAGGATTTTGACAGCATTTTTCAATTAAAATTGTTTATGTGTATAAGTTGTGTCTTTGTCATATAAAGATGAAAATACATTCTCATTCTCAGTATGGACTTGGATCCAAATCAACCTCCAGGACTTTTTTCCATGTTCTTATAGTAAGCTATCTGCTCTCACAAAATGAAATATTAAGGAAGTTCTTATTTTGTGAGGCTGAAAGAACAAAACAATGTTTCCATTTAAAAATTACTTCAAAATTTTGTATTAAATACGAAGACATCTTTCAAGAAGAGTGACCACATTCATTTTGACAAAGCACAGGCTAAGGGAAGAGTATGTTCCTCTCTGAAAAATGTCCTGCTTTTCAGACATGATTTGGAAGAAAAATTTGGAAGAAAAGTTTAAATATTTCCGATGAAACATGGAAACAATCACTATATCCTGTGAGTGTTCCAGTCAAGGAAGAAAGCAGGATCACTTTTAACACACCAATTTTCAGGCATTTCAAAAAATTATTCTCAGGCTTCACTGCATGCATTTTAGTATTTTAAAAGTTTTAAAACCTATTTTATTAAAGTATCTTTAAATCCACTTTCTTTTTCTCCCCTTCCAACTGCAGGGACCCCTTATATTTCAAGATAAGAGTCAGTAGATCTTAATTTTATTTCCATCACTGTTGTTCTGTGCTTTTAGAATTCTGTGCTTTGAATTCTGCATTTATAAAAATAATTTCTTTAGTGTAAAGCTTCAGGATGAAGCTTTCAGGATGAAAGTATATTCACACAAACCAATGAGCATAATTTTGGTTGCTGGGATCACAAAAAAACTCTACGGTACCTATATATCCTAGAACAAATTTGACACCTAAGTGGAATAGGTTCACCATTGCAGTATGTCCACTGAACAAAGAGGTACATTTTGCTCATGGAAGACTGGGAAGAAATTTCTGATGAAAATCTGACAGAGAAGCAATTTGGGGTCCTCTGTACTCACTGGATTTGGGGTGTAGCAGATTTTCTCAGAAGAAGATACATACAAAAAAACTGATGGAACTGGCATATTGTGCTGATGCTGGTCAGTCTTTGTGACAGGGGTAGTCCCTTTGAGTACTGTGCCCCTGCCCAAAAGTTACCTGTGGATGTTCTCTTCATTCTTTACAGGCAGAGGAAAAGAGCACTGGGCTTTTTTTGTCACCTAACAGATGTCACAGATGCAAATTGCATTTTCTGTTGGCTAGCTCATTTTACAATCTGTCCTGAAAACTGATTTCAATTAATTCCCTTCTAGACAGTTAATTTTTCCAGCATGGCAAGTTCAACTATGTATTTCTGTAAGTGAGAGGGTTTCCAGGAGTCAGGCACAGTGATAATAAGTTTTATAACTCAGTGTCCCTTTTGAATGTAGATAAAAGTCTTCTGCTTTTGAGTGTTAGATAAAAAGAAGATAATCTTCCCTCTGAGAAGAATGTCATTGAAGCGAGGCAATTTTCACACAATTACATTTCATAATGGGATTGTTAAGACAGGGGTGCTTATTTCTGGTGGGTTTGATCTTATCCTTATGTCTCTATTACTTAAATTTTTTCTTGCTTCTTGTCTACTCTTCCTCACTATCCTTGTGATACAAAATGATGTTGGCTATACAATGTAAGTATAATGTATCACTGGTGTAGATGAGTCTGCTGAGAGGGAATAATGAGAAGCTGCACGATTAAGAGCTTTAAAGCCCAATAGTGAAGTCCTGAAGGCCACCAGCGCATTGAGGATAGAGATGTCACGCCATGAGGTTGACAGGAGGCTGCACTTGTTCATGCTGGCTGTTCTGCAAGGGCCATGAGGTCTGCCTGCCTTGCTGAGGTGGATGAGGATGCTTTGAGGTTAAGGAACACCATTTTGGAATTTTACTGTGTGATGTCTCAGGTGCCAGTTCCAAATACAATTTGTATCACTTTTGAAGTTCTGTGAGAATTCTGCAGAACTGCTTTCTACCTTTGTTGAAGCTATTTCCAAAATATTAACTGGGACTCCTTTAGTTCTTTCAGGCAGTATGGGAGAAGATCAGAGAAAATTATTCAGGACGCACTGTTTAATTTTAGCACACACATTGTATGCCAGTTGTTTATGTATGTGGTTAGCACAGCAATATAGGAGAGTGGGGGGAAAACCAACAAAAATCCCAAACCAGAAAGCCAGTTGCAATGAATGGCAGTTCAGCTTGTTCTTATTTGTGGTGGGGTTTTTGCTGACAATTATTTTGGAAAAAAAATCAGTATTTAACTACAGTCCATCTACTCTGGAGTAAAATATTCAGCACTGCTTACTAGTGACCTAGCACTAGCACTAAAAAGCATAAGTTTTACTGGCAGTTATTAATATTCTAATATGTAGTTTAGCCTGTTCTGAGACTTAAGGTCTCAGTATAAAAAGCTTGCAGATACATATCCAACTCCAGCAAATTCCCAACAATGCATTGACAAACACAGGAAATCTTGTAGAAAACTATCCCTGTGTACACTAGGCAATATTTTATTCCTGTCCTTGTTGAACAAAATATTTTAAACACATGAAATGTTTTGTTTCAAAGTAGCATTTCTGAAATCCAAAAGTTCAGCTGTTGCAATTCTTCTTTCCATTCTGAAGTAAGTTTCCTGGATCACTAGAACTTTTTAAAGCTACCTTCTTAAAAACTAACCAAATCTTCTGTTCCCTCAAGGCAAATAATCAGGTAGCTCTGACATCTGCAGCTACTGGAAACATTCATCTAAGAAGGAATCAAACTGGTGGAAGCCTGAGGAAATATAAATCCAGTAAATGGATTGAAAGTACTTCCTCTGGTGCTACTTTTTAGCACCTTTAATTTAGGTACAGAACTGAGTATATGGTAATAATTACAAAATTAGAATAGTAGTAGTAGTAACGTAGTGTATAAGTAATTCATTCACATAGCTTAGGTCAGCAGACCTTTGATAGACTAAACAAAAGTTACATGATCTCAAAATATTGAATCAGTGAGGCAGATGAGTCAAGGTTTTTTCCAAAGCAGAAGGCATGAAGAAACAATTTCAGTGTCAGGTGCCCAATAAATATAATGTATTCCATTTTTAGATTAAGATACATGATTATTATTATACAAATAAAGACTTTTTATATAATTCAGATAATAATTTTAAGAGTTCTGGTATTGAGATTGCACTCCTTTTCCCTTGAATGAAGGTACATGCAAGTTCTTACATGTATAAATTCAAACTCTTTTTCAGACTTCAGTTTTATTTTGTATTGCATGTAATCATTTGCATCTAATATTACAGTATGAATTCACTACAGGATATGTATTTGCCATGTTCTATCTTCACAGCATTAACTGACCACTTAAGTTGTTACACTTGCTGCTGCTGTCACTGGGAATACCTATGCTCTCTGAACACATTCCCTGGTTCCACAGGGAGCATTCAGGGACCAGCAAAGGACACAGGCCCTTCAAACCCCAAGGTAATTCATTCAGAGATGCTTTTGTGCATCTCCATGTGGCAGAGTCTTGCACCATATAAACACAGCCCCACTGCCAACATATTAAGAAGACAGAATAGCAGAAGTTTACATCTGAAAACTACTTTGGCAGCCATTGCTATTAAAAAAATTAGGTGAAAATTAAAAGGGTTTTTTTCAGTATCTGCATGTCATGAAAGCAGCCCTGTGACAAAGAATTCTCTGAACTAATAGGGACACTGCCATCAGTCATTGGTAAGAACAGTATTGACTTCTACTTGTAGAGAGCTCTGCAGATGTTACTCTTCCAGAAAACACTTATTACTTACAGGTTAAGGTAGTCAACTTTTTTAGGAAGCAGTATTAAACAGTATTTAATAGCAGTATTTAAACATGCACAATATGTTTTTATGAAAAATACCAACAATGTTAGTAATTTGATTTCAAGTATTGAATACAGAGGATTTACTTGTGACTAACAGTGATACTTCTATAGTAACTTCTCTATTAAAATATCTTCCCATGAAGCCTCAGGCATTCCAAGCTTGCACATTACAGAGAACCAAAAATTCCAGTTATCGTGTTCTGGATAGCATATGTGATCACAGCAATGGAGATATATTATATATCTGCGTATATATATATGTGTGTATATATATACACACACACATATAGGATAGATACAAACCATTCTGGAAGTACACATACAACATTTTGAAAGATTAGAATGTAAATTTCTGAGACTAGAGTAACAGGATCATTTGACATTATGATGTTGTTTACAGAACATTGTTTATATACCCATAACAGAGCTGCAGCAGACAATAATTTCTTTTCTGACTGATGATCAGACTTGGAAGTCAATCTGCAGGAACACTCCAGCAGGCAGAATGGCCAAAGTTAAGAGTTGGCTGTGTTGAAATGAAAGATATGTCCAAATTGTGCTGACAAAACATAAGACAGTATTTTTATGTATCTTGGAACTCCTCTCCAGCAGGAGAGGAGTCACATTTCTGGTGATGGTAGCCTTTATTCTCCAGGATAGTATTCAGTTGTCAACTCAGAGTGAAGCTGGATTAGAACAAGGTAGTTCATCCATATGATGCAGTCTGCTGGGAGATTTTTGCCATAGGTTGCATCTGGACTATTTTATCTTCTCCCCTTACACTTACCATTGTGTATAATATATTAATTTATATTACACATAATACTAGAAGAACTAAATAAAGTTTCCAAGGCAGGAGACTAACCATTCCAATTAATCACTAGCTTCAAACTTAAAAATAGTCTAAACTCTTTAGATACAGGATCAAGTTTGTATTATTTATTGGAAAAGAAACAGTCTCCCAAAAGTCTGCTCCTGAACCTGTTACAGGGTCACTGGGATGTCGTCAGTGCCACCCACAAGATTAATAACGTGAGCGAGAGAAGTGATTCAAATTCCTGAATGGTTCAGACAGTGTGGAGTATTTGAAACATCTGTACAGGGCTTGCAGCTACTGGACCTACAGGAGAAATGCACTCCTCTAGAGGAATAGCTGGAATGCAGGTGGGATATCCTACTGATCTTTCCTCAGGCTTCTGCGTTTCACCTGATAAACACTGATAACATATTTCCGGTTACAAGAAGAAAAAAAGGAAATATGCATTTATCTACAAGATTTTTCATTTCACTTTCCAAGTGGAATTTATTTAACAACCTCAAAAGCAAGTTAATTGTCCTAATTTCTATGTATCATTAGTATAACATGGGCAATTTTAAATTTATACTAGATAATGTGTTTTTTGATGGATGTTGTGTAAGTACACAGAACTGCATAAAAATGTGAGATGCAAAATAATTCTGTAGCAGGATCTACTTTCTTTGGGGAGTTGGACTAGATGACCTGCTGAAGTCCTTTCCAACACAAATTAGTTGTTTCATAAAATAAAGATGCAGTTTTTAAAAACACCTTCTGTGACAAAGCCATACAGCACAGTACCTTTGATAAGAAGTATTTAATCATAGAAGATAATAAAGAACTGTGTGATTACCCTACTGTAATGCTGTATATTGTATCAATTTCTAAAAAAGAAAAAAAAAAAAAAAAAAAGAAAAAAAAAGGGGAGGTGAGTGCAATCTTACTACTTTATTTTTCACTATTAAACATTTCTCTTTTTACAATAAATAAATGCACTCTAAAAATGTAGGTCTTGTCAGGGAGATGCACTGAAACTCACTCAACATTAAATTGAGGTCAATAAGACTACAAAGATGAGATTAATATGCAAGTAGTTTAAATTTTCTATGAAAATGAAAATAGATCTTAAAATATTTGGGACATTGCATGAAACAAAAATCTCTACTTGTCTAATATATTGAGAAATGGAGACCTTCAAAAAGGTAAGTTTTAGAAATTATACAGGTCTTGAAAAACAGAAATTGAATATAAACCCTGAAAAATACAGAGCAGTTCTAATATAGCCAAAAAAACCAACAGAATTCTGAAGATAATAAACTTTGGTATTTAAAAATATCATGTTAGACATGGGGTTTAGTATGTTCCATCTCTCAAAGCCATTGAACAACAAGGTAAGCAACTAAGAGCTATCATGGTATCAGTTTTTCAGTAAAGCCGAGTCCAAATCATTGGGAAGTAAAGAAATGGTATAATGATTTAGTACATCACCTCATTATTGTCCAAGTTTCACTTGCTAAACTGTGATAAACCTCTTACGTATTTTCCCCAGAGAGGATGGAGAATGTGGGTGACTGAACTAGAGAGCATCCAATGAGACAGGTTATGTTTTAAAACAGTTTTAATCTGTATTTTACTATCCAAAGGAAATCCATGTTTCTGTAATGTGGTCTCTGAAGGGATACAATGACAATCTCCTGTACCCTTGGTGTGTGGCTGAAGCATGGACATACCAAGAGGCCTCCGAAGTAGGGAAGAAAATGTGTCACTCTGTGAGCCAGACAGACTTCCCAAGGCACCTGTAACCTGGTGGTTTACAAAAGTAATAATCTCCTGTTCTACCCTATTCCCTTTGTCAGTAAAAACTGTGCTTTCCCCTATTTTTATGTTCTGTTATTAAATACTATAAGGTCATATCTTGTTGCGACTCTGTATCCTTGTATAAGCACATTAAGTATTTTTACTACATAAATATGAGAACTTTTTGGAAAAAACATGTACAGCAAGTCAGTCATTATTCTGAGTAACGTGAAGGACGTGATCATTTCACAGAATATTCTGAATTGGAAGGCACCCACAAAGATCATCAAGTCCAACCCATATAGGGATCAAACACATGACCTTGGTGTTATTAGCATCATGCTCTAACCAACTGAGCTAATCTCTTTTGATCATTTATGGACAGCAATCCAGGAATAGGACTAAACAGGTGACAGATAATGTATTTTTGGGAAAAACAACAACAACAACAAAACAAACAAACAAACAAAAACAAACAAAACCCCACAACACCAAGCTAATGTAAAAAACGGTGATAGTTCAGTCTGAACGAAAAAAAATACTCATTTTCTGTTCAGGTTCCTTTAAACTTAGTGGGGATTATAAGTATCAATTTGAGTCTCCATTTAGTCATCCAGACTAAGTCTGTAGCTACCAGTTAATAGAGATAAGCACCTCAAAACCCCAAAACATATCTGAACAAACCTCAATCCTTGTATGTCCCACCTCTGTGATAGAATACACAAAATACTTTCCAGAGGTCCCTTCCCTCTCTCTCTCCCTATATTTTATTACTGAATTTGCTTGTCCTATCATGTCACTTTTATTATCAAAGTTTTCTTTAATAACCATCTTGTCTTTTGCAATTCTAAAATGGTGGATCTGTGTTATTGATTGAAAACACTGAACTTGAATGTAGAATGAAAAAAAATATGGATCTCTCTACCAGTTTATTCTTCTCCAATAATTTCCTCTTTTTATGATTTTAAATGCCCTAGAGATATTTACAGAAGCTAAAAAAAGGTATTAAAGACATTTCCATTGTCAGTTTTATCCCTTTATGATGTCTAGTCTTTCTTATTTGAGGTTTCTATTTGTTGAAAGATACCTAGCTGCAATGGAAGCCACCCACATAATTTTTCCAAGAAAATTAGATATTTGCAATATAATACTTGTACCGTAGTTCCATTCCTCCATCATACACACTACATCTAGCTTCAGTGGTCTGAACAAGCAAAGGCATGCACATAATTAATTCCATGAGGGACAGCTTATTCATATATTTGCACACACAACTCTTGCTCTTTGTGTATCAGTCGCATATAATTTACAATGACTATTTCTGCTAACTTGAGTACTTTGTGTAAATTAAATTCTAAATAAAGCTCCAAGTTTTCAGACATATTTTTTTTGTTGCTTGATCAAACATTTTCTATTGTCCTACATCCACATGCGTGCGTGCACACACATATACTGGAAATGGCTTTTTCTATTCTTCAGCTTGTGCTATGCACTAAAATGGTTATAAAAATAGCAACATGGCAACAGTTGCTTGCACATGTGGATGTCATAAACATTTTGTGTTCCTTTACAGCCAAATTGAATTCAAGGCGCTGTCGCAGCAGTGGGCCTGCTCCAGGAGCCGGCACGGGAGAGGGTCTCTCAGGCACCAAGGTGATTTGCAAGTTGCAAGGGAGTAACACATACGGTGTGGATTAGCTGTAAATTAAACACACAAGTGTTTCCTTTATAAGTGACATATATATAGGAGGAATTTCTTCACATAAAGGGTGATTAGACATTGGAATGGACTGCCAGGGAGGTGGTGGAGTCACCATCCCTGGAAGTGTTTAAGGAAAGACTGCACATGACACTTTGTGCCATGGTCTAGTTGACACGGTGGTGTTGGATCACAGGTTAGACTCAGGGATCTCATGGGTCTTTTCCAACCTAATTGATTCTTTGATTCTGTGATTCCTGGGGCACAATGACGGGTCCTGTCCCCCCCAGCCGTGCCCCACCCTCACCCACTGCACGGCTCACGCTCTTTCCCAACACATATACATAAATGCACACAGGATCTGTGCTTTAAAATAAACCAACCAACCAACCATAGGAATGTTCTTTGAAGAAAAAAAAAAAAAAAAAAAGCATCCTTTTTCAGGATTGTGAGTAAATATGACCCAAGGGGCTTCCCAGAGGTATCCCAGTTCCCCCCAGCTGTCACCCCCCCGGGCCTCCCATCAGCCCACCCTGGCCACCTTCCTGAGCCCCAGCTCCCTGCAGAGCCTCCCAGCCCCTCGCTCACTATGGAACTCCTTCCCCCAGCACAAGGCCCTGCCTTGATTAATGCCCAGGCTTGGGCTCCCATTTCAGTGTTACACCATTTCTACTGTGTCCAGTTCTGGGCCTCTCAATTCAGGAGCAACATCAACATGCTGGAGTGTGTCCAGGGAGAGCCAAGAAAGCTGGTGAAAGGTCTGGAGCACATGTCCCATGAGGAGCAGCTGAGGAGGTGGGGTTGTTTGGCCTGGAGAAGAGGCTCAGGGCTGACCTTATCACTCTCTACAACTACCCAAAAGGAGGGAGTAGCCAGGTGGGCATTAGACTCTTCTCCCAGGCAAACAGTGACAGGATAAGAGGACAGTCTTCAGCTCCGCCAAGGGAGGTTTACATTGGACATCAGAATTTCTTCACAGAAAGGGTGATTAAACATTGGAATGGACAGCCCAGGGAGGTGGTGGAGATATTGCCTCTGGAGATGTTTAAGGAAAGTCTGGATGTGGCACTTAGTGCCATAATCTAGTTGACATGGTGGTGTTTGGTCATAGGTTGGACTCAGTGATCTCAGAGTTCTTTTCTAACCAAACTGATTCTTCGATTCTGTGATTCCAGAGGTTCGATGATGTGTCCTGTCCCCCCAGCCCTGCCCACCGTCTCCCACTCCGCGATTCGCGCTCCTTCCCCGCGGCCGCCCAGCACGGGGCTCTAAGATGGCGGCGGCCGCCGCCGGCTGGCAGGTGAGCGGGGCGGCCTCTCCCCTTCCCTTCCCTTCCTTCCCCCCGTCCAGGCTTTGCCGCTCCCCCAGCTCCCGCCCGGAATGGTGGCCACCCCTAGCGCGGCCCCTCGCAGCCCGCCCAGCCCGGGAGGTCCCCCGGCCTCGCCCTCCCGCTCTGCCGGCGGGGAGAAAGGGGGAAAGCTCAGCACCGCCACCGCACCCCCGAGGCGAGGCGGGCTCGGTTCTCCCGCGGCGGCGGAAGGGGTTCGGCTCCCCCGACCGCCCCGGGCGGCAGCGGGCGCGGCTCCTCCGAGCGAGCTGGTGCGATCCTTCCCAGACACCGCGGCACACCTGAGCTCTGCAGCCCCGCCGGGGCCGCCGGGTGCTGTGGCGGAGAGCCAGGAATGATCGGAAAAGGGCTGTGGGGCGGGGAGAGGATGAGATCTCACGTAACGCAGTATGCAAAATACAAATTTTTGGGCACAGCCTTCCTGACTTGTCGAACGCGGAACCCGGGATCTCTGCTCTCTGGAGTCGCTGTGCCTTCCCTATTGGCACTCCGCGCTCGCCACCGGTGTGTCCCTCTGTGCCAGGGACAGACATCAACACGCTTGGGATGTCGCTTTTCTCCAGACATCACTTGGTGTTCCCTAGACAGATTTTGCCTGTGTAGACGGAAAACTACAGCCATTTGTCCCAGCTTTTCCCCCTCCGTGACAGCTGCAGTCTGGGAGCCATACTGAGTGCTGGGCAAATGGGCACTGTTCCACACCCGCTCTGTGGAACAAGTGCCCCGTGTGGAGTCCCAGGAGTGCCTGGCTATTCTGCTCAGAAAGTGCCACAGGTCCCCCTCGTTTGCAAGTTAATTTGTTTATAGTCAGTGTGCCCAGAACACACTGGAGTGGCTGTGCAGCCAGTACAGGCCACTCTCGACACGCCTGTTGGTGCTCCCAAGGCAGTTTGTGTTTGTAAAGTTGTACCAGTTTTGTGGTTTAAACAATAGTGGTCCTAATGATGTTGGATAATAGCTCATGTAGAAAACCCATTTCTTCTGATACTTATTTTACTTTTTATCAGTAACAGAGATGCATAATTCTTTTGCTGATGGCTTTCATTGGTGTTAAAAATTAGAACACATCAGTATATACTCTGAAAATAAAAATTGTGTCTATGTTTTTCAACGTTTAATGTACAAGCAGTATTCTGGATGTGTAATTTTAGAATGTCATGCATATAATAAAGTTGCATAGAATGAAGTTGCAACTCTATTGCAAAGTAAAAAGTTTCCTGTTTATCACATGTATGGATTTGGCTGACCTGAGTGAGAAGCCTGTCAACAGTTACCATACATTACTTTCTCACTTCACGTCTAGCAACTGTGATTCTCCACAGGAAAAGAAAATTAGCGTTAAGTCTAGCGTAATCGTTGGAGTATTTTTATCAATTTAAAATAGAGACTACCAATTTATTATCTTTATCTACCTTAGACTATATTACAGTTTGCAAGGTGCTGTGATAGATGTATATTGTTTTTTGGTGTACATTTTACTTTAAGCACTACATTTGCTTATGCTGTAATGAATCCATAATGATGCAGTATGTTGTACTGACAAATGTACTATATACTGTTAGGCAGTAGAAAACCAGCTGAAGATCTGTGGCTTTAAGAGCAATGGGGATGTTATAGGATTGTATCTGGCTAGACAGTAAGTAAAATATGTTTCTCCTTTTGACTTTTACTAAAAGTAGAGCACACAGTAAATTGTAACCTTTCATATTGCTTTCTGTATCAGATACTTTCTGAACATCATTTATATGTGAAATACCAGTAAAACATATTTGTACTTGGTCCATACATGTTGTGAATGAAGAAATGGTGAAGGTACACAAACACACACAGCAGAACTGTGCTCACAGTGAAGCAGTTAAGTCACAGTGAAGCCTCAGCTCTAGATACACCGTCCATCTCCAGCAACCCAGAGTTGCTCCAGGGTCTGTGAGTTCACAGAGTTGCGCATGAACTTCTACCACAGGAGCAGAGAAATGAGGCTTGATGGGCTAATCTCTGCCTGTTCTAACTGGCTTGTAAGGCTGGGTGGAAGGACTATCAAGAAGGCAAATGTAAAAACACAGAACCTGCCCAGTCTAAAGACTGCCAAATTTCTGACCTCCCTGAAGAAATCTGTTACTGCAACAGCGAAACTCATTGGTAGCACCTTTGAAATTACCTGCATCTCTACTGTTAAGAACTGAAGGGAGGGCAGGGCAACATGAAGTGAATACAAGCACAAGAATGCTTGTTTGGGGCAGGCAGTACTGATCACAAAACTGATCTCCTCTTAGAGCTTTATGAAATAGCTTAAGATGTAGGGCAGATGAGGAGAAGAAGCCGTGCTGAGTGAAGGAAGGCAAAGCTTTCATGAAGCTGTGGGTGATCTAGGTTGATAGAGGTGTATGTTGTAGTATGAACATGCTGAGAAGCTACCATTGAGGGATGGATGCATGACAGGACACACTTCAAAGTTTTTGGAAAGCATGCTTTGAATTTCTGGCCAGGGCATAATTCCAAGTGTTGCATACCTGTTTGCAGCCTCGCAACTGCATCTACTGTTCGTACAGATGATATCATGTATGGGGAACTAATGTAGTTTAATAATTCAGGGACAAAGTTTTCAAGGTCCCTGGGTCCAATGAATGAAGAAAAAAAGGTGTTATGTGATTTCAGTGTTGTCTAGCCTGTTTTTAGTGGAAATCAGGTGGTATTGAAAATCTAAATGAGTTCAGTAGTATGTTTGAATTTCTTATCACATCTCCTGATGTGATATCACATCTCCACTGGGAAGGTATTTGATGCTTTGTGAAATGTAAACGTAGAACATGTAGTTACTGTCAGATTTCTCTTAAATAAGTATTTTAGAAAGAAGAAAACATAAAAATTAGGGGGAAAGTTTAAATAATGAGAAAATTACAAGATACATATATATTCTAACCAAGACAAAAAAATTACCATAATGCATATGCATAAGAGAATTAAGACTGTGTATGTGGTCTTATTAGGCACATTTTCTGATTTTAAATGCTTGAATGTGTGCCCATGCTGCCTATGAAATATTTTTTTGTATAAATAAAAAGAAACATTCAGATGGCAGATATAGAATTGATCTGTCTTCCCATGAAACCATTTTGAGACAGATGATGCAAGATGGCTTCTTTGATGATTGGATAGAAGTGAACTCCTTTTATTCTATACCAGCTTATATAAACTCGAACTTCAGCCAAACTCAATATCAGATCATGCCTCCTTAACTGTTGGTTTGACATATTTTTCTGATGGTTGAAATAAGAAAGTGAAAAAATAATGATTAAAGTCAATCAAATAAGAGGGAATGAGTTTAAATTTTTAAAACGTTACTTGTAAAGGGACATGAATCAATGTAAATTTGGACACTGAAAGCTGTCATCCTAGGAAAACTGATTAACTTAGCAGTAGGTAGAAAAAGAGAGCTGCAGGCCAAAAAGGAGCAGTTTATAAAAGACATACAAAGTTTGGAAGGCATCTAGAAAGGGACAGGCTCTTTTAAAATGTTAGAGGAATTAAGCTCTACCTGGGGCAAATTAAATGCCTTAAATACTACCAAAAAAAACCAGATCAAGGCTTGGAGAGAGTCAAAATGAGGCTGTTACTAGACAGGGAGTTAAGCCAGTTGAAATGTAAACCTGTAAACTAGGTATGGAATGGCAGTGACAAAGAATATGAGGAAATTTTGGCTTTGCTACCTGAAAAGTAGTGCAGGGATGTACGTGAGAATTAGAGAGTAGCTCTGTAAGAGCTCTGTATGTCCTGTCAACAGTCATCTACCTGTCTGCGCCACTTGCAGTAATGTCTTTTCTGGTTACTTTTGGTAATAGACACAAAAGTGTGTATTTGCAGAGTTAGTTTTTATGGATTATCTGAAGAAGGTGAATAAAGTGTTTAACGAAGTAACAGCATGGGATATTCTTACTTTTAGAAATAAAGACAATAAATAAAGGACACTAAAAGTACCGCACCTCAACTTCGCAGGGTTTGCTTTTGACAGACTTTTTATTTTCAAATGCAAGATCAGAAAAGATGTCCACCCTCCCTTTGTCTGTAGCTGGAGGGTGTGTTGAGAAAAACTAACAAACAAAAACAACATGGGAAGCTAGAGACTAGGCTTCACAGCTAGAAAACAAACATGGTTTTAGGCTGATGATGTGAGGTTAATTTTTATCCATTCTGTCAGTTCCTTCTGAAACACTGGTCCCAGTCTTGCAACCCATTAAAATGCACAAGGAAATTTTTATTATGTCAATTAAAATTTGTCATATAAAGGTAATCTATAATTATTCTAGTGGAAATTAAGAATATTTATTTAAAGCAATGAAAAATAGAGATGAGCAATTAATGAAAATTACTCAGCAGCTTAGTAATATTCTGTGTAATTTGTTCTTTATAGTACACTAATAAGCTCGAAGTGCTAGATACACAATTAAACAAAAAGCCCTACTGGCACATGAGAGACAGTTTCAGCCTTATGTGGATATACTAAGTTTATGTGAGAGCAAGAGAGGAGTGAGAAAAGGGCAAAAGATTTCACAATATGCACTAATATGGAAAATAATAAGAGATGTGCACTGATGTGCTCGTGACTGGCTTCTGTTGGCTTCTCTGGGACTGTGGCTGGGCAATCCCCACTGCACCTTCAAAGCACTTTTCCTTTTAGATTTGTGTCCCCAGGGTGCCAAATTTCTCCTCCTGTGTTTTGAGCAGGATTTCCAAACTGCGAAGTACATGGCATTCTGACTCCCTGAGAAAATAAATGCTATTATGGAAAAACAATTAATTTATCACTTATTTTGTTCCCATTTCTTTACCACCTGCTGCCTTGTTATGCTTACAAGTGTGTAGAGTGCTTACACTGTCTCTGCCATCTTGTTCTTTGTGTCTTTCTCTGCTATAACTTCTAAGGAGTGTACCTTTTTAGTCTTTGTATAATATTATTTATAAAAAAAATTAAACTGTTTGTAAAACTACTAAGCACTCTTGTTAAGAAATTTGTCACTCTTTTTCTTTTCTTCCCCCAGAGGACTAAGAAGTATCCCAAGTCTCTCACAGTTTAATAGGTTAAAGTATTTGTGGCTTAACAACAATAAGGTAATAAGATATTAATTTAAAGAGCAGAACAATGTATCTATGCTCCCTGATTATTATTTTGTAATTTTTTCTAAAGTAAAGTACTATATAATTGTCAAGCTAATAGATTAGTTTTAATTTCCAGGCATATTTAACTGTCAAATGTGAAAAGATTTTTTTTTTTAATTTACATTACAGAGTGTAAGCTAATATATTTTCCTTTAGATTCACATCAGATTTATAAATGGTGTTTAATTAAGAAGCTGAGGTTTTGTGCTAATTCCTTAGCAATAAAAAGAAAGTAGTTCCCAGTGTAGGTGGTGTACCCCACCCAGGAGAGCGGCAGCTCTTGGAACAGACCGAAGGGTGATGTGGCTGTAGGATGGGAGTGGAGGGCAGGAAATGCATAGCTCTTGTTTCATTCCCTTGCAGACATGCAGAGTTTATTTCCTGGCAGGTGGTCAGTGAGGCTCCTATCTGCCCTCATGCACACAAGGGTGACATAAAACTTTGAAATGAGCTTCTCCCTGTGCATGGGAGGCAGCACTGGAATTCTTGGGATGATGGGGTATGTGCTGCTGTTACACAGGTCATTGTGTCACCTAAGCTTCCAGGCAAGCGGTTAGAGTGGGACCACATGAATTTCTCTTGTTTGCGATGGAGTGCATGGCCCTAAATCAGCTACATAAACCACCTGCCTTACTTTCTCCATCTGTGCAAATCCAGATTACAGTATTTATTATAACTTGTATGGGTTTTGAGACAATTCTCTGTCAAAATTTCAAGGCAGTACAGTTTCCAGCCAATTGTAAGCATGTTGTATGTTACACAGAATCATCTCGACCAGTAGAATTATCTGATTTAGAAATCTCCATATCCAATGCTACCCATTATTAAATGGTTGAATTGAATTTAAATTTTCACCATTAGCCACTAGTTATTAAAAAACAAGAAGAATAAATCCCTAAGAATTCTAGCCTACTTTGAACTATCTTATTGTACAGTAGCTTACATGACTTTCAGAGTGAGCTCAGCTTCTTAAAACACCAGAGTTGCTTGGTCAGGTAAAGAAGTAGATCTGTGAGCAGCAGAAAAAATAAATTTACATTCCATGTCTCTTTGGAGTGTATGTATGTCTGCTGCCCCAGGCTAACATCAATTATATGGCATCTTATGTCAACTTCATCAAAAGATCTGTGGTTATCCAACTATTTTCAAAAAAAGAAAGAGTATAAATACATTAAAAGATTGAACACAAGTATAATAAGGCTTTTCCTTGTATTTCTAAAGGACATTAAAAAATAAGAAGACATGGCCTGATGCTGACTAAGCAGAACTAATCTTGCTGACCATAAAAGATAAATCAATTTGATTTTTGCCGGGATCTCAGTTTTTACCTAAGCAGTAACAAAGAGTGTTCTTTTTTTATGTTCAGCTTGTGTGGAGAAGCCACTCAGTGGCTTTTCTTCAGAGAAGTGTCACTTAAATGCTGTGATAGAGGAAGCATATTTTTCTGTAGTCAGTAGTTTTATCACAAAAAAAGTAAATTTCAGGTGACCCTAAAATCGAAACTTGTCAAAGACAGGGAAACAGCACTACACAAGTGAGTGGAAACACCTCTGCCTTATGGTCTTCCTTCCAGCTTTCAGATACTGTTAATGCACAGAGCAAAGCACTTTTGTTTTAGAGTCAGTGGCACAATTCAAGGACATTCTCCCACTAACAAATTTGCACCACAGAATTCAAAGTAGCATCAGGAATAAAATTTCGCTTGCTGTTCTTGCATTTAAACTGTAGGATAAAAGCTTGGGCACCATTAGTAGTTTGTTATCTCACTGCAGATACTTTACCTTGCACTGGAGGCACTGAGCTCCAAGCAAGGGGACGTGATTTCATAGTGACCAAAGATGATTCTTTATGGGAATACATCCATGCATATTATTTGTCCTGTAATTGTAATTGATTCTCTAAATCTGATTAAATGACATTTTTGGAAATTTAGAACAAATATGTGCTCTTTGGACCTGCTGGTCAAGGAATAATTTAAAAACTAGATGCTGGGTTTATTCCAAGGATATATTTCAGGAATATCCTTAAACCAACATAGAATTATTATGTCCTACAAGGGTCTCCTTACAATAAAAATTATTTCAAATGTAAATAGAAGGAAAAGAAAATGTGAAGGCAAGTCATTCAAGGAAATCTGTTTCCAAAAAAAATATTAAATTTGTAGTTCAAAAAATTTGGTAAGGCTGTACTGCATGTAATTGATGTGTAATTAGTATTTCTAATGAAGGTTCAGCTGTCAAGAGAATCCTTAATCCAAGGGTCTTAAACAGAAATATAAGAAACTACCTATAGTAATGCAGTTTTCAAGAGACCATGTTTATTATTCTCCAATATTACGTTTAGATTGACATGTAATAGTTTGCCTAACTCTAATTTCAGATACAAGATTTAACTTTCTTGATCAAAAACTATTGCCTGACTGAACTCTACCTCAACAATAATGAACTGACAGATATATCAGGTACCAATATTCCCTTTCTAGGTTGTTGAGCAGAGGCCTATACTTTCTTTTCTGTGCACTGGCATTAAAATTTATACAACTTGATCATACCAAGTAACGTATTGGTTGAAAGCTCCTATTTATGCATAACAATACGTGTTAACTATTAGATATTTAATTGTTCCAGAATACTTGAGTAGCAATAAGGTGATACGTTTATCATGGTCTAAGGGATGAAATGTTATTAACTTTATGCCAGGCAACTGTAAATACTTTTGATCCTACATGCACATTTTGCATATTGAGAACTTATAACCAGAAGTATTTTGCAAAGTTACTGCCAAACTTACTTTGTTTCAAAATTGCATCTGTCTTACACTTCTATTTCAGTTTTGCTTGTTGTTGTAGATGAAAGTGGCTGTACCAGACTCCTGAGTTTGTGAATGAAGAGGCCAAAGCATAATAAACTTCTGTATATTTTAAACATTTTAAATGTTAATATTTTATTTTTCTCTGTCACTCTAAAATGCAGGGATTAATGATGTTGATAGGTTTCTGTGAGATTTTCAGAAAAATTAATCTTCAAAATACAAACATGGATAAGAGAGAAAATACAGACGATAACAAAATGTGGGTAAATAGAAGGGTATCATTTATAGGGAAATGTGGGTAGGAAATATTGCCTAGAATTTGGAAAATGCGATGTCCAGTTCTGATGTGGTGTGAGGATGTGAACAAATTGCCTGGGACAGCCACTGCAATATATTGTAGTAACTTTTTAATGCATCAGTAATTACTTGAAACCGAACTATTTTCTAAGGAATTCACTATTTATTATTTGAGAGGCAAAGGGCAGTATTAGTGATATACTATTGAGAGTCAAAGGTAATATTAGGTTAAGGAAGTGAATTAATCAAGGATTACTGGGATATAGGAGGAAAGAAGGGAGGAAGAAGAGAGGTTGTAGTTGATGCTGATTTGTTGGTGCAAGGGTAATGTGGGCATATGGAAAGAACTGGAATGAAAAAAGTTAGGCCTGTGTTTAAAGGATGTCATTAGAAATATGAAATGGATATTGAATATCTCTAATTTTTAAAAAAATTAATATCTCATGCAGTGTGTTACCAAAAGGCAAGCATACATAGATAACTAAAATATCAATTCAGTGTGCAGCATAACAAAATAATTATCTAATAGAAGCAGTCTGCTATGGTGAGAATGACTAATTATTTTTTGTTTCATTTCAGGTGCTCTGAAACACTTATGTTCGTTACAGATTCTGTTTCTTCACAACAATGAGTTAAAGAAACTTGGCAAAACAGTGAAGGAAATGAAAGGAATGATAAGCTTGCACACTCTAAGTAATACCTTATTTTGATTCTGTAGAACAGCAAGTAGTAGCTCTTTATTTTCTTACCTGGATGTTTCTAGTCTGTTTCTGCATCATTTGCCAATAGCTTTTGAAACTAATTATCAATTTCAACCAAATTTGACAAATTTGAAGAAAGAGATCTCTAGGACATGAAAATTCCACAAAGAGTACCTCAACTGAGAAAAAACCTGCTAAGTGAGTTCAGAAGTTAACTCTTTTTGGCCCCTGGCTAGCCAATGTCCTGGATGAGTAGCTCGGAGCGTGTCAAAGCAGTTTACTGCTGCCTCTTTGTAAGGTAACATAGGAGTACACTGAGATTGTCGTAGAGGTAGAGTTGAAAAATAGGTGTTATTGTTGTTGGGAGTGTGAGTGATAGGTTATAGAACCCAAATTCCTGCCTCATTAATTCTGTTGTGTATAGAACTCCCTTTCTGTATCCCTTTGGCAGACTGTGGATTTCTAGAATCTAAGAATAAGTACACTTAGGCATTCTTCACAACAATATTCTTATATTAAGTGGCATATTTTCTGATACACTGGCTGGAAGTGAAAACAGCGCCGTCTCTGAAATTTCAAATTAAGTTACACAAGACATTGTTGACGCTACTACATTACAATGTAAGAAATAGCCTCCAGGGAAAGTAGGATTATATGCTATTAAGATACTGAATGTGAAAATGCAAGCAATGTTTTCCGTGGCTCCTAGAGGAATGTCAACACAGGTCATGACAGATGCTCAGTACTTGGAGAAAACAGGAAATTATTTTCACGCCTTAGTGACAGTTAAGGAGGTGAATATCACCAGGCCATAACACCTCCTTAAGCATTCAGAAAACTGAATGTCTGATTGTGGGAAAGGAGAATATGACTTAAAAAGTACACTTTTAATTGAACTTGACACTGGGGCAAAACTAAAAAACAAATCAAGTGTTTAGGAAGACAACATGTCAGCCAAATTATAGTAATTTTTTTCATTATATGCAAGACAGGAAAAATAGTCCATTTAAGAATGCAGTTGTTTGAAGTGATTAAGCAAAGTCTGGACGAACATCCTATGTATGAATGGTGCAGTCACTTGAATTTAATGTTAGCCCTACAAATTAATAAGGAGCTTCAACAAGCACAGGAAGCTTGTTGTACTTGTTGCAACCATCTGTGGGAAATACATAGCAGATAGTTAAAGTGCTGCTGAGTTATTATGAATGGCAGTCACAAAGGCATAGTGAAAACTGGGTGCAAATTGGACTGGCCGCTACCATAGAAAAGCATTTGAAGGAGCAATCAAACAATATATAGAACATACCAATCTACCCTAACTAAAAAAAAATTGTTCAAAGATTTGTACAAGAGTAAACACTAACAGTGGAAGAAGCTTAATAATCTTAATAACCATAACTTTAAAGTAATTTCTTCTTTACCTTTGCAGTCATGAAAAAATTGTAAATGTGTTTGTTTCAAGATTTCATAATAATGAGTTCTTAAGTTAACAGTACTCTATTTTGTTTCATAAAATGCGCTATCATATTTGAAGTAAATTACATCAGTAAATGAACAAAACAAATTTTAAAAGTCTTATCCTATATATCATATTACTATATAATTTCTATGCCTCCTTGCAATATTTAGAAATATGAAATGGGTGCAGAATTTGGATTGGGTAGCTTTGAAAAGGGCTGTGCCCATAACTAACTTTTATAAAACAAAACCAGTGACAGTACTCACTGTTATGAGGTAGATCTTTTTAACTGCCAGACAATCTGATTAAAACAAACAAACAAACAAACAAACAAACACTTGCTAGCCTTCAGCCGAGCTCCCGGATGCTTAAAATGATTTTATAATTTTGTAGCTCTTGGGGACAAAAGAACTATAAAAACACACTATTACTGTTCACTTTAGGAGTAGCATCCAACTGCCAAAATGTTGCATTTCTCGAAGGCTCTCTTGTGATTTTTAGCCACTGCCTGCACTGGATGTGTAACAGAATACCATCCTTCACCGGGCCTTTAGGGAAGACACTCAGCTTCGAAAGATTTACTGCACGTGTTGCTTACAACTGCAGCCTTTGGGAGACATGGAGGGTTTCTTTATGGGCTCACCTTGTGTTCACATCTCCCTTTTGGAATCCAAAGTTTTTACTATGTACTCTGTAAATTGTCTCAACTGATTTATTGTACTCAGCTGATAACATCCTGCTGCTAGACCTCAGAAAACTCTGTTCTTCACTATGTTTCTGCCCCATGTGGCATAGGCACACTGTTTTCCTACACTCCAAATAGAGAAAACAGACAAAACCGTGGAGGAAGAAAGCATTATCCCTAATTTGTAGAAGTAAAACTGCATGACCTTGACAAGAAAGTAGATAGCTGAGCCAGGAATTAATCCCAGATGTTTTGTAAAATAAGACCATCTTGATCTGTTCAATGGTTGGATTTAGTGTAAAAATAAGCAAAAAAATTCACATTCTATAAAAAAACCCTACAAATCAGTGTTGATGAGGAGGGACGTGATCCAAGTAGCATTCAGATTCACAAGTGCTTAGCATCAGTCCTGGTTTGTGCCTTGGAAAAATCTTTTTTGAATCTTTATTTCATTCCACTACCAAACATACCTACTTTTAGAGATCTTTCTGAAACATTTTTCTCTCTGGAATGCTATTGCATATTTTCTTGTCTCAGGAACAGAATTATCAGATATATGCATAATATTCTTTCTGATCAACACTTTCTGGAAAAAAAATAGCTATGTACTAATTTGTTCAGTAAAAATGGAACTTTCTTTTGCTGCCACCTTGTGGGTTTCTTACTAATTTTAAGTCAGTGACTTATAAAAATTTGTTTAAGAATTAAAATATTTTAGGTTCTCCTCTAAACCCATGAACAGGTGTTTTCTGTGAAGGAGATACCAAAAATGCCTGTTCCTGCCTTACTGCATCCTCAAAATAACTGCTAAATCACATCAAGCACTGACCTCCCTTTGGCAGTCATACTTGTCCTGAAGAACATGAAATGGCATCTGGTAGTTTAGAAATCCATGTGGAATATTTTCAGACTTTTTTCTTCTTCTAGTATCTCTTATTTGCTTCTGTAATGCCATCTTCCTCCCGCCAGCTGCTAAAATTACACGTAACAGGATTTTTTACCCTAGAGTATTAGCTACAGCCTCTCCTCAAAAAGAGATAGAAAAAGTTTGTCAGAATTGTAGCAGAATTGTCAAAATTATTATTTTAAGCTTTTTTTTTTCTCCTCTGATCTCAAGGTGGCAGCCTCCTGATTATTTTTACTGTCTTAGAATAACAGCATTTGGTAAAAGAGAAAAATAGAATTATTATGTCTTTCATTTAGAAGAAAGCCCCACCCTACAACACTTGTTTGTTTGTTTGTTTGTTTGTTAGCCGATCTGGGAATAAGCCAGTTTCTATTTTAATCGACCCTAGATATCACAGTCATGAAATAAACTGATTTGGCATGTCAGCTAGGTAAGTGTTCCACATCTGGAAAGCAGCAGCACAGGATTGATACCTGTCTTTGTGTTGCAAAGCTTTGGCTATACAGGTAAAGTGAACCTGAACACAAGCATTCTAGTCAAGTTGCTAATGGTCTTTTGTAGCTTAGTATCTCATGGAAAGCTGCTGGGGACCCATGTTCTGAAGAACTTAGATCACATTAAACATTTTACTCTTAAGTTTCCTGAGTTTTCTAACTCATCATCTGTCAAAACATCACAAGACTGGGTATTTTATGTTGTGTCTATGGGATAAAGCACCTTGATAGCTCTGAAAAACCCTTAGTTGTCCTAAAGCTTATCTGATTTTAATAACTCCCTCCCCCTACAACTTTTATGTCTTACCTTTGAGCAGTCACACTCAAAAGACCACTGTTATTTAAATAAACATCAGCTAAAAATACATAAGAAAATCAAAGGCAAGCACCTAGTGGGTTTTTTTCTGTATATCTTAGAAAATAGAAAAAACCTTAGAGGTTTGGAGTGCATGATGACACCTTTACTCAGTTCTTGCCTGTGTTGTTTTGCATACTCTGCAATAAGCCAACTTGAAGTCCATATTTAGTTACTTCATGCATGTAAAGAAATTGTGCTTTGTTTGCCCAGCATAAGAACAATTTGAATTTGATAATATTTTGTACAAAATCTTTGGCTCCTAGTGATCTTTAATTTTCTTGCCTTGCAAAGTTTTTGTTCTTTTGCTGGGTTTGTTTTTTTTGTGACACTGTTTGTTTTTTCTGTGTACATTTTGCAGACCTATTCCAAAACCCTCTGGCATGTGATCCAGACTACCGGCTTTATGTGATTTACATCCTTCCTTCAGTTCAGCTCCTTGACAGGAAGTGTAAGGATTGCTTTCCTCTTCTCACAAAGCATTGACAGTTGCTTTTGATTTTAATCAGTTTGGAAAAAACAGGTGAAATTATCCTGCCTGTTCTTTTACATGCATTTTTTGATAAAGCAAAAGATCTAATGAGCAGATACCCATTTTTTGCAAGATTTGTCAAGTAAATAGAGTTTGCATGGCATGAACAGTTTACTTTGTCAAAGGCTTTTGATTTCTGTCTTTTCAAACTCTGTATGCTTTTCTTGCATCTTGGTCTATTTGGGTAAGACAGACAAAAGCCTATGCTTAGAAACACGTACATACATTTGTGCATTCTTACTGGCATATCCACATGGGTGAGTGTGTTTACTTAGGTATGGATAATGTCCTCAGCTATTTACATGTTTCTGTACAGTTCAAATATGCACATTTCTTGATTAGGAAGATTCAGACCATGCTTTCAAATATAAATATTCATAAATCATCATGTGCTCTTTCACAGATTGTCTATTGTAAATTCTACAGAAAAAAAAATGTCTAAAGAATAGCCAGATGTTAAATGAGTGAATCCATAAACATGTCACAACGAACCCAGAAAATCACCTTTGGCAATTTTTGCCTCTGGTGTTGGAAAGCTATGTGATCGGCAGGAGGACTAACAATTGCTCGAGAGCCCTGAGAAGGGGATTGATTCCTGCCCCAGCTCTACCTTTAAGAAAGTAGCAAGGAAAAACAGGGCCATCTTGAAAACCTGCTCCCAGTCTCTAAGAGAATCAGGACGTAGGACTTGAGCAAGGCAGATGCAGGACATCTGCAGGTGCTGGAAGACTGTGCAGCTCTGTCATGAAGGAGAGCTGGTGGATGTGCCACAGGATGTGCCAGGGGTTGATGAGGAGCTGCTGGATCTGACCACGTGGCCATTTGCTCACACTGTCATTTTGCACTGGTACCTCCAATGTGGAGTATTTGGTGTCGTGTTACAGCTGTGCTTAACATGTCTGTCAGACTGTGTTACTAATGATCACTTTAGACTGGGGAGCGATGAATGAAGCTTAATGTACTGAAAAATATGTGTTGCATTTACATGTCTAGAAACACTTCCATAAAACTTCCTGAACTTAATCTCCTAAATACAGTTCTACTGTAATCAGTCCTGGATTAAGCCTTGCAATTATTTGTATCAAGCTGTATCCTGGACTTCCTACTTAGTGAACTATTTCTCTAACATTACAAAGCTTCTTCACCATCTGTGGAACGTTACCACAGCGTAGTCCTGGCTGTCGCCTTTACAGGAGACGTGCTCGCACTTCTGTTACCTTCAGGCATGACTACTGCAGTTCCTTCCTAATTGGTCCCCTGGACACCATGACTCCAAAACTTCCCTGCATTCAAAATGCTGCTGCCAGTTACTTGTTCTAAAGCTTTAGCTCACTTCTCTTCCATAGCTGAGGTACTGGATTAGTACAAAGTTCACATAATTGAAGTTACCATCCCCAATTTGATTTGACAACCTTAAACTATTTGTTTAAAATTTAAAATTATTTTAAATTAAAGTGCAACACAGGAAAATTTTATGCTTTTTTCTTGATTGCGCTCCTAGAGTTTTCTCTGTAATTGACCAGTGGGAATTGAACTGGCCTTAAACCAGGATTTGGTTTTGTTATTCATAAAGAAACTTGAAAATCTTTACTGACTTCTGCAGTAGATCTCATTTAAGTAGTAAAAAAGTCTAGCTTTTTAGTTTCTTGGTTTAAAACTTAGGCTCCTACTGCACTCAAAATATTTTATTGTACAGCGCTTTACCCTAAAGCCTTAGAAAGTATCACCCCGTGTTCCCCTTTCAAATTGTTGTGAAATTATGTAACTTACACTGCTATTGTTACAAAACTTCTGGCACTAAAAAAGTGAATCATCTTTTGCATGCTGCCTTTTCAACTGGTAGAAAAAAAATTTTTTTATATCCTCTTTACAGTAGTTACACAAAGAGAAAGGGAATCAGCATTTCATCTTTATAACCCTGAAAGATCTCTGCTCGTGCAATCCATAGCTTTTGGGAAGAGAGTAAATACACCCCTGGGGGCTCCACTGGGATCCAGAAGATGCATTCAACCAGCCAGAAGACTGATAATGCCCTCAGGTATTTATAATAATAGAATGAAAAGCATACATTTTAGGTGATTTTAATTAGAAACAGGGTTTTTTTCATTCATCTGATAAGAAGTTATTGGTTTTAGTAATAAAATATAAATGCATCAGGAACTCAACCAAATTGCTTCATAAAGTAGTAGTAGCAGCAACAGGAAACAAATGAATCCTTACACTGAGAGTATTGAGGCAAATAAGTTCTAATCCCTCCCTGTAGTTACAGAATAACCTTTAAAGACAGATGAACAAAAAAAATGGTTTTGCCCAGTATGTGTCTTAATTTAAAACATCTCAATACACTTCTAGACCAGTGACAGCATCATAGACTTTTGATGCCCTCTAGTGCTTTCATACAATAATCTCTCAAAGAGAGTATTTTCTCCTAGTGTTTTAAATTTTATTGTGCCTAGTTTTATAAGCAGATTCCTTTTTAGGCTTTCAAAGCTGAGAGTATTTTAATGATGTCTTATAATAGCATATAAGGCAATTTTTAGAGTTCTTAAAACATTCAGAACTGGAAGACAGCGTGACCTTGGCACAAGAAAGCAGGTGAATACCACCAGGAACATTTTGACTTGTACTGTATCACAATCCATAACAAACCTTGAAATCACACAGAGTCTTGTCTGCTTTTTTGTGTGTTTTAAAGATAAGAAAACCAATATTGTGCATAGATGACTGAAATCATAGCATTTTAAAAAGTAGTGTAGATGAGGTTTGGAAAGTAATAAAATACGTGCAAGTTTTTTTACATGTATATATCACGATAGTAAAGTTGAACATTTAAAGTAATTATGGAGAGGTTGGGGAAAGGAGGATATTTGATAATATTTAATAATTTATTTGTTTTGCTGATGATTATCAAAGTAGGTGTACAGTTGTCCTGATCTCTACTATGCAATCATTCACTTAATAGAGACAGCGGCATCATTTTCTGTGAAAGAAAAAGTATGCCTATGGGGAATAAGAACTACATAAACTTAAAAAAAATTCCAACAGGTACTTGCTTCCACATTAATTTAATAAAAGGTGATCTTAAAACGTTTCAAATCATCTGCTAGTTTTCAATTAATTTGAACAAGCAAATTAGGATCAGGATGGCAATACTGAGCTACTCAAACTGCTGTACAGCCATTAATGTCTTAATTTGAACTTTTTGTTATAGGTTGTGAATTTGCAGATAACACAAATAAGTAAGTAATGTTTTTGATTTATTTTCCTTTTGTCACTCTGAAGCATTTACTGAATTTCCTCTTCTGGTGCCTAAAAAATACCCTAATCAGAGAAAACATCCAGTAAAAATGAGCTTTCAAGAAAAATTTCAGGCCTTTGTATTTAATATAGTTGCAACTGTATACTATTCTGATGAGATAACCTACCCGCTGGTGTCTGAAATTTAATATGAAAGGTATTCCACATTTGGAAGTGGGTACATACAACTGCCATTTATTTGTAAGATCAAATACTGATCACTAGAAAAAACATGCTTAAGTATTAGAGCATCAGAATATCTGTTCTGTATTATGGCCCAGAAAACATTCTCCTGAGTGGCTGTTCAAAAATACATACTCTCTGAAAAACGTTGCGACTTGAAGAATGAAACTTTTTTAGTCTGTACTTGATTTTTTTTTATTCTTTCCAGTTTCAAAATCATGGAAATAAATGCAAAACCTACCTCTGTTATCTCTGTTGATGGAGGCAGGAGAAAGGTTGCATTTGATGTGATGACACTGCAGATGCAATCTTTATAAGAGTAAATTTACAAACTTTAGATGTCAGGCCTGGTTTTAATTTCTAGCTTTACACATGAAAAGATTTGAAAAATGCATTAAAGGAAATAATAAAACCCTACATATCCTTTGACAGTACTGAGTACAGCTATTTAAAATCAAGTTAATTTGTGTTAAAAGATTCTTAGCTGCTTTCAGTGTAGTTAGCTGTTCTAATTGGTAGAATGGGTGTGTGGCTTCCTCAAGTCTTATTTATGTACGTGCCGAGGTTTTGCAAGGTGCCTTTTCATGACCAACTGCAATAAATTCAGTGTTTATAGTCCTGTGGTTCATATTACGTGTGTGTTACTACAGCCATACCTCTAAGAATTAAGGTCTTTTAAGATGAAGATTTAATAGTGTATCAGAGTCGGAAGGTTTTGGTCTAACACAAAGTCCTTGTCAATCCTACATTGATGCGCATCTGCCACTTTCCTCTCCCAGACTACAGCTGTGGCAGGATACAGGAAAAACACAAGCTCACAGTGTGCTGGATTCAGAGCTTGAAGAAGGGAGATTTGCCTGAGGGCTAGTTAAAAGATCCACAGCAAAATAAATGTGCATTTGCGTTAATCGGTATCAATTTGCTTGAATCATGTCCACTGAATCAGAGCACTAAAAGTATACAAGTATAAATTTCGGGGGAAAAAAAATTGAAAAATATTATTTTGTTGTAAGTTTACTATAAATGTATTTTAAATAATTTATATCTGATTTTCCCCCATTAGAATCCTGTAATTCTGACCTTTTCTTATTTTGTTTTGCTTTCTGAAATTTGGTAAAAGAAGAAAACCTTCTGAAAATTTTAAATTTTCAGATCCTCAGTGTTAGTGTCATCATGACAGCCAGCTTCACTTTCTACACTGTGTGTTGTATATTAGTTCCAAAATAGTTCGGAAACATTCAGATAATGGACGTTAGCTGTGTTCTTTTTGCAGAGTACCATTTGAGAACCCTGAAGATGCAGTTTTAGTACGGGCAATGACAAGATCTCTAACAGAATTTTCCTTCGTGGACTGGAACAAGGTAGCCACCTGTCAAGAAAGACATCTTCAAAATAAAGCAGAAGAACCCCTTGAGAAGCTGACAGTCCAATTTAGATGAGTCCTTTCTTCCTTAAGGAAAAAGCAATTCCTCTCTCTAGTGTGAAGTCCCATGAGTAGGTTAACACCTCCATAAAAGTACATGACAAATCCAACAAGTACATGACAACATGCATCTAATTAAATGAATTTCCAGAAAAAAACTGTGTAATGTAGTGAAGAATTAAGATAACAAATGATAAATGTCAATGCTACGATGAAAGTTGCTTGAAATGCAATTCTTAGCATACTTTTGTTATCAGAAATACTAAAGCTAAACTGCATGCTAATTTTTAAGAAACTAAGGATAAATATTTTCATGGCTTATAGTTTCTGGTGGAGAATTAAACTTACCGTGTTCTCTAACAGTAATTTGCCTTCTTCCATCAAAATAAAGATAAGAGAAAGCAACCATTAAGCTCTTCTCATTTATGAGAGGGATTCAAGTTTCAATTGGCTAATCTGAATGTGCTGGAAACTCTGTCATATGAGGATATGCATTTGATCCCAATATGTGGATCCATGAGCTCTTAAGCACAGTGATGCCTCTCTCTTGTCTGTGGCTGCTGATACTTTTCCAGGATGCAGGCCTGTGCTCACTTGTCATTCTGGAGAGATAGGACTTGCCCAGGACACTGCCCCAAGACTGCTGGACTGGTTTAACTCTCTCTTTTATAACCATGTGGGTCACATGGTGCTGGAGCATTACACCTGACACTTTTGGCTTTTAAACCTGTTACCAGTAAGGAAGCCAGTGGGAAGTGTGTATATAGATGGAAAATAATACATTTCCTCACATATTTATCCCTTCATTCTGCCACAGGCAGTGATGCCTTTTAACACATCAAAGGCCTTCTTCAGCCTGTGACTTTTCTTCTGAGTCCATCCTTCTCTCCTAAGTTACCACAGAGCCACAGGACCTCTGTGTTGGCAGGGACCTCTGGAGCTTATCTAGTCCAGCCCTCCTGTTGAAAGCAGGTTAGAGAAGAGGTTGTCTGGTGGCCTGTCAAGGGCAATTAAATATTTTCAGTGAGTGAGGCACCACTGCCGAAAGAACGAAAGCTGGATTTGTGCTGTGGATTTTAGCACACTTCCAAAACCCTGAATCTTTTGCCCTGAAGGGCTGGCATTTTCAGAGACTCCTTAAAGAGCAACACATCCCTGTGGGCCCCAAATGCTACATGTGGAACAGGGAACCAGCAGCACTTCTGCATTCCCAGACCCAAGAGTGGATGGTAACTACAGCACAACTCCAGATCTAAGTTCCAGGCAGGCATCTCTTGCTTGCCAATTGTCACGAACTTAAATTCGTACACTCAAGCTACGGGAGGCTCCTGAATGTCACATAAGAACGTCACCGTGTGTCCCAACAGGTGTTACAGACCCAGTAAACAGAACTGTCACACAGCCCCCTTCTTTTAAAAAATTTCCCTTTATTCTTCACAGTCAGCTAATCCTTGAAATTAAAACACAGGTACATTCCCTGCACAGGTGCATTTATGTATCCTCACTTGTACAGTTTTCAGAATACTAAACAAAAACTTTCAACATATTAAATAGTAAAAAAATTAAAAGCTTTTTCCCTCTGTTTTGAGGAGGGTCCTTACTCCTCCAGTTAGAAGAATATTGCCATGTTCAAAACACCAGTTATTCAGCCAACAATAAGACAGGCTCCAATTTTGCCATCCTTATGCAGCAAGTGATATTTTCTGTTGTGGAATTCCCACGGATTTCATGAGACACAGTAATAAATCTGAGTGAAAAGCATAGTTAAGGGAAGCTATTTTCTAGATCTGGTATTTAGCTGAAAGCCAAAGTGAAATCCCAGCTGTATCAATGTACACATAAATTTCCCCATCTGTGACCAGGTTCAGCATGAAAAATATTAAGCATTTTTTACATTTATGAAATAATTCATTAAGAATTCATAAGCAACATCTCAGTGTACTCTAAGGTATCTTTACCTGAAAACTGATTTAGAAACCATTAATCTCGTCAGTCAAAATACTTTGAGTCATTCTGGTCCTCCCTTCATTAGACTTTGGAATATTTCTGACCAAACCAATAGTGAAATAATACTGTTGAAACACAAATTTCACCATCAGCTTGAGACATCTGAAACAGTAGTTTCATTTACTAAAATTGCCACAAAATAGACACTATTACTGTGCTCTCACTAGCCAAAAATATTTACAGTAATGCCATGAAAAGTTGAGAGTTCAGATGAGTATCTTCAGAAGCTTAACTGCTTCTGAATTCCTTCATATAAAGCTTCATAAAGTGGTGAAAAAAGGCAGTTTAAAAGTTGGCTTCCCAGTGCTTTTAACTACAGATCTATGTACTTGCAGGAAGAAACATTTAAATTACAATGAAAATAAATTTTAGGTTCTGAAAACATGAATAATCCAAATAAAATGCTTTTCATTTTTCACTAAGTGGTTCATTAACCAGAGATACTCATAGAATTTCACTAGGCTTACTGCTGGTATACATACAGATGGATCTATGCCTCTCTAGCTTTTAGCAGATAATAAATACCTATTTTGATAATTTACAACAGAATCTGGAGTATTTATAGACAAAGTAGCCAGTATTTCATCTCATGAACAGAGACATTCTGTCTTTCAAAGGAAGTCTTGCATAAGCCATGATCTAAGAACTCAGACATGGTCAGCATAAAAAATGTTTAGTACCCTTGAGAATCCTCAGTCCCTTCCTACCCTTTCTTACTCCTCAGAATCTTGCATTTTCTGAAGATTAATGTCAGCTGAGACAGTCTCACTTTCCAGTGGACTTTCAGGGTGCAGGGCTAGTGCCTCCATCTCTTTGGTAATTTCAGGTTCTTCTGTTCGGTCAGTAGGATTATTTGGATCAACTCCTTTTGTAGGATCTGGAGCAGGATCTGACTGTTGTTCACTTGTAGAACTACTCTCTACTAATTGCATTTCATCTAAGCAGAAGAGAAATCACACAATTAACAAACACTGAACTAATTTACAAAGCAAACATTTTTATTCCTGATAAACAATAAATGGTAGGGTACTTTGCATCAATTACAAATTATTAATTTAACCAAACTTCATGGAAAACAGACTCAAAACACTAAAGTTCTGTTTAAGTTGGTATAAGGTTACTCTAAGTAACCCTACCTAAAGCTCTAGTTAATTTATCTTCAATTTTGTCACACTTCTTTTTTAATATACAGAAGAGCAGAGTAGAACACTACAGTTATTTTGACTGTCAATTCAAATGTGTTTTATTGACAATATTCTTGCCATAAGCTTTTCAAAGAATGGCTGCAGGCTGGTTAAACAAAGAGTGCAGGTGAGTTTGGTTTTTAAATAAAGAAGGCATGTATGTGACTATGTAGGAAGCACAGACTGAAGAAATGATCTGCTAATAAACAGTTGACCACAATGAACTTTGCTTGAAGTGAGTCATCCTAGAACTTAGAACTTGATTGCATGGAATGGAATCAGCTATCGCACCTTTACTTTTCAAGCAGTTTTTGGAGGAAAACAATTGTTAAATGACTTTTTTGCCCTGCTAAGTAGGGCTTGTGTCCAGAAATTCTGAAAAGCACGAGGGGAAAGTCTAATTGAAAACAGGAGTAGTTAAATCTTGGTTTCTTGTTGTTATGATTGACAGTCAGCCAAAAATTCTGTCACAGCTAGCCACAACCCTGCCATGGGACCGTGGCAAAGCCCTGCCAAGGCCTTATGTGGCTATGGAGCTAAAGGCCTTAAGCACAGGCTGAAGCATGGACTTCCTTAACACTCACCCTTGTACACTGGAAACTCTTAAATTCTTGAATTTGCCTATAGTTGCAGCTGTGACTTTTTTTTTTTAATTTTCAGTTTCCTTGTGTACAGTATTTGTAGGGGGTTATTGCTAACTTTCTGAAATAAAAGTGTTGTTGATATGAAGTGCTCTGAGACAACACCATTTATGAGGTGACCTGAAGCTCAGATGAATTCAGTGTTATGCTCATAACACATAATCTGATAAGGTCTACAGCGTGCTGGCCATGAACCTGAAAAAGTTAATGAAGATTACCATGTAGACAGCACATTAGCAACATATCAGAAAATGTTAACTTCCCTTTTTTGGAAGGGAGGGGAAAGAGCAATCCACTGAGATCCTGTCTTTCCCTCTGAAGAGGACAGCACCTGGCCACCAACTCCTTCAGTAAAGATGAACCTGCACGTTTGTCACCAGTGCAAGGCATCACTGCTCACAACTCATTGTGTTTTGCTGTACTGCTATGCAATGCAACCAGGGATTTCTAGTAACCTTGCCTCCAGCTTCTACAGTCATCCTGATCCCATGCAATAGCAGCTCTTGTTATAACAGGATCATCACAGGAAGCTGTTGAAAACTGCAATTATTACTAATTTATTAGTATTTGATATCCTACTATAGTCTTTTGAGTACAGCTGAAATGAATAGTACATTGTAAGACAAGTGTGATTTGCTCAAGGCACTTCTACAATCCCTAAAACAAGGGAAGGAAAATCCAGTAAGTCTAAAAGAGAAAAAGTGATTTTTCCTATTATTTCACTTAGATAAACATTGCATCAGCGTTGAGTTAAGGGAGGTGGCAATACAGTGTTTTTCCTGTTATTAATTATTTGCTTCTTGAAGGGAGAAAACCACCATGAACAGTTTAAAGACTAATGCTTGCTTACTTCACATTCCAAGTGCACAACACAACTCAATACTGTGATTATGAAGAGAAAGTATTACAGGAGAGTTACCAGTACATTAACCTTTAAAACTGGAAGGAGCAGACTGCTTGCTTATTATCCAACTTATCCTAACACCTCCAACAACATATAGAGCAGCATGAAACTTCTGCATGAGCTTGATTAAAGATCTGGATTTTGAAACAGTGCAGTGTAATTCAGAATGCTTTAGTTGCAGAATCCTGTGTAACTGTAGTGTTAAAAAACAGGATTAGAATGTACACGGTGTATTTGTAAATTGAAGACTAGAATCCCAGCAAACACAGGCTTGCTGTTATGTTACATCAAAGATTTTTCTCCCAACCTCAGCTGTTACAGTTTTAAGACCTGTTAAGTTGCTCTTTGTGGTGCAGTTAATGCACAATTAGTTTCTGCAAGCAAACTAAAGATTCTAACCTTTCTTTTGCTTCTTTTCTTGTTTCCTTTTCTCTTTGGCAGCTTCTAGTTCCTGTTTCTCATGAATTTCCTTCAGGGTCTTGCAGACTTTTTTGTGG